GTTCCAGCAGCGGCTGACTTGGGGACGCCTCGGGCAGAGCAGCTGGGGTGCTGCTGGGTTGCTCCAGTAGCGCCAAGGAGCCGCGCTACTGGAGCAACCCAGCAGCACCCCAGCTGCTCTGCCCCAAGCGTCCCCAAGTCAGCCAGTCCCTGACCCCTGACCAGCGCTGACTACAGGAAGCCCGAGGCAGAGTTGCTCTGCCCCACGCTTCCTGGAATCAGCTGCTGATCAGTTTCAGCAGCAGCTGACTTGGGGAAGCTTGGGGTTCTTAAATTGAATCTGTATGTAAGTCAGAACTGGCGGTCAGTTTCAGCAGCGGCTGAATCTGGACGCCAGTTCCGACTTACATACAGATACAACTTAAGAACAAACCTACAGTCCCTATCTTGTACGTAACTCGGGGACTGCCTGTATAACATGGCACTACACTTTCAAAAGGACACCCTTATTTGGAGTGCTCTGTTTGTCCACTCATTTTGGGTGTCTCGTTTTTGAAAAGGTAAGTCTTGAGGGGTTTTTTTTTTAACCAAAACAGCTTGGAATGTGATAATGTATCCTGGCTTCCCTGCTATCTTTCAGTGTCAAACCCTTAGTTCTACACTTAGTTTTTAATCTATCCACAGGAATTTCAATGAGTGAAGACCACAGGGTTTGAAACTATTTATAAAGGCCTTTATAGCATTTATCCAGCTGTATAATGAGATACAGTACATTGTTTCCCTGATAGCTGTGCATTGCACACCTCGGCTGTGTCTACACTGGCATCCCTTTCTGGAAAAGGGATGCTAATGAGACACTTTTTAAATCCCCCGCGGAATTTGCATTTACATGGCTGCCGCTTTTTTCTGGCTCGGGGTTTTTGCCGGAGAAAAGCGCCAGTCTAGACGCGATTTTCCGGAAAATAAGCCCTTTTCCGGAAGATCCCTTATTCCTACTTTCAGGTAGGAATTCCAAAGTGTCTCATTAGCATCCCTTTTCCGGAAAGGGATGCCAATGTAGACACAGCCCTCTGGAACTTTTATTTACCTTAATGTAACATTTCATTTTTGCTACAAACCTATTCATCTAGTCTTGACAAGATCTCTATTATCCATTAAGATACAGCGTCTGTTTATGGCTTGCAGACATGTAGGCTATGTCTACATTACAGAGTTTTTGCGCAAAAACAAGTCTGTTTTTGCGCAAGAAAATTAACAGTAGAATGGCAGAACAGAGGGCTTGTTGCGGCATTTCTTAGGAGTTCTTGCGCAAAAAGAGCCTATCGGAAAAAGCACAGGTACTCTGATGGCCATTCTGTGAATGGCCATCAGAGCTTTCTTGCACAAGAGTGTCCATGTAGTGTGGCCGCTCTCCTGCAGTGCGCTTTTGAGGTGTGGACACGCTTTTATGCAAGAAGTTTTTGTGGAAGATCTCTGCAGTATAGACAAAGTCATACTGTGCTTTGGTGCCACTGGAATTAACATCACACTGCCACTTGTAACTACAATTCCAGCCCATATCATGTTACATTCCGAGGGACTGTGGGACCTTATCCCATCAGCTGCCAACTACTGGTGGCTACACAGCCACTCCCAGGTACAGGAAGTGCCTACAAAGTCTATAAGGAGACAGGGGCAAAGGCCATTCTGTTTGCCAAGGAAAAGCCAAGAAAGCTGAGTTTGTTTAGCACAAGGCATTGTCTATATCACTGAGGGGCCTGCAGTTTCATTTCCTTCAGTTATATTCCACTGGGTAAGGTTCTTAAGAGATAACAATTAAATAGATGATGGAGATGTTGAAACAATTGTTCACTGCTCTAATCAGAGCAAGAGAATAATAAGGTTATATTTTACAGAATCAATTAGTGGGTGTACTTTCTTGAGCTTCAAGTCCCTCTAATTCCCCCAAGGAAAACATGGTAAGAAACTACTTTAGCAGTGTGGAGTCCAACATGAGTGATCCAACTCCAAGGTACGTATCTGCCTTCCAAAGCAGCTCCTTCTATGAAGCTTTGGCTATCTCCAGGAAGACTTGGCTTGATCTGTTAAAGTTAAGATGGATAAACACTGAGAAGTAGTCAAGCCTCAGCCAAATATGTAGAACCTCGCTGGAAAAGGGTTGGGGGAGGAATCCAACTTATGCTGGGATTTTTCTGTTCTCATTTATACTGGTGTAAACTCCACTCTGCTGTGACCAATATAGTTAATCTAGATTTATGTTGGTGCAATGTAGGAGAATAACATACATTAGGTAAATGTGGCC